CGCGCTTTTGCATAAGTCAATGAAATTTCACGTCGAAGTCTACATGTGTGTGCATAGCCGAGTAATTCAGGTCCAAAACTGCAAAGACCTAAGCCTGAAATTTTGGAAGCATAATCCTCGAGATTATAAGGATCCCCATCTCTCTTTTGACACGCGAACGAACACGGCGGTTCCATCCAGTTGTTTCTTCGTACACGTAACCACAGGCGCATTTTGGAGCATTGTTCTCATTCAGTGATAATGGTGCTTCACTAGAACTGACTGTTTCACGTCTGATTTGCGGGAAGCGGTCATTGTATCGAAACGGCGAGACTGCTTCCGATTTAGCAAACATTCCACAGTTACCAGTGTACCTCACTAGAATTTTCCAAGACAGGCAAGCTGAAGAGAGTCCACACTCATTCATCCAAAGTTCCAGTCCAGTTTTCGGGAAAATAAGTTCGTAACCAGGAGATAACAGTTCATCTGGGAGGAAAGGCAACACAGGGCCAAAATTTTCCCATCCTGCTTTTCTTAAATTATGAATAACAAGCATACATTCTGAATGCCAGAAGTAAGAAGATGAGATAGCAAGGTAAACAGAAGAAATAACCAGGGCAATGGGGACATTTTTAGACCGATTTATTAGATCGTGGTCAGCGCAACTACTTCCTGCGCATACTAAAGCACATAAGCAAATGCGCTGTAGCATGAGACTGTTTGCTTACAGCAACTCATTTTTTCTACGAACTGAAAACTCAGTTTCTTGAGCTCCATATAAAGCATATTTGATGGGCCAAAACGTCAAGACTTTGCACAACTGTATTTTGATGGCTTCTGTGCTAGCATTAGTGTAAAGCGCGCGCGAACACTTCACTTTTCAGGAAAAACATGTTAAATTTACGCCACTTAATTTATCTAGAATTTGGAGAAATTTCTGAACAACTTTAAGTTAAATTCCTGGGATTAGTAGATACCAAAAAACTTTATTTCTCAGTATTTTTTACTGCTTACAATTTCCGCTCCTAAAGTCAAAAGTAGGAACCATTCCGTACTGGCTCTT